CTCGACCGCCGCCGGCGCTGGTGCCGTGACCAACCCCGTGACCGGAAACTTTGCCGGCTTCCAGGCCTCGTCCCTGGGCCTAGACTTTGGTACCTGCACGCCGACGGTCAAGTTCGAGGAGTCGCTCGACGGACGCAAGGCCGGCGAGTTCACCTTCCAGGCGCAGGACCCGGTCGTCAACAAGGGCCAGGAGGAAGCCTTGAACCCGAACATGTAAGCGACTTCCTACCGCCATCTAAGGTACCATGCTACAAGAAAAATAAATTGCTAACGCGACGTGACAATAGCATCTTCAACCGCATCTGCGATCAATTGGTCAATGTGTGCGGCGCCGCCGCCGACGCCGTTACTGCCTGCCGCTCCGCCCAGGCCAGCCTCGGCTCCGGTGCTAAGGATGCCTCGACCGCTAACGCCTGGAACACGGCTCTTGGTTTTGACGGCACCAATATCAACCCCGACAACGCTCCCCAGACCGGCCTTATCGGCCACACCTAAGTGGAAACACGTTAGGGGCTAGGGAAGTGTCGAGCGGCATGTGGAAGAGTGGGTGAAGAGGGCAGAGACTAGCATAACTTGCTTGTGGTCATGCGAAGTAAAGGGAGTTTGGAGAGAACTGCTACGTGTTATGATGTGTTAAGTACTTATGTTGTATCTATATAAATACATTTTGTATAAACTATTGCTTTATCTTTTGATTTGTATTGGCGGGTTGCGGGTAAATATAAGCAGATTTATATCCCACCTCGTCTCATCGCTTTATATCAAGTAGTTGTTTAATATGGCTTGCCTTTCAAGGTTCCGATATCTGAGATTTCCAAGATTGGAAGACAATTGAATTTCAGAAAAGTTATATTGAGCGCTCAAAACGTATCGCCCAGATAGGCGGGAGTCGGTATATGTTGGGCTGTTCATGTCTTTTGTTTCAATGTCTAGGCTATCAGGCTCTTAATTCCCGGCACATTAGCATAACCACAGGTCTCCTGGGTACCTAAGCACAAGGAAACATATAACAGGGAATAAAATTCCCGTCCAATTTTCCTTCCGTACCTAGATACCCAGGGCCAAGTAGCTCTGAACTTCATAACTTTCCTTATAACAAAGTTGCTGTTGTCTCACCGTACGTACTTATTTGATTTCGGGAGCCGGGTTGCGCGCCTTTAGACGATTCGTGGAGATTGGCGTCGTGGATATCAAAACCAACTCTTCACTGCCATGGCCGACTTAACGAGAAGTGTAAGCTATTCGGCCGTCGACATGCGTTATGTGATACTCCAAAACTTGAGTTTGATTCTCAAAGCCCGATTGATCTGGTTGATCAATGGGCTGTCCAACATCCTGGTACCTGGCTTCGAAGGCCAAGCAGGCATTCCGATACCTTCAGAGTGGTCAGAACATCGAAGGCATTATTCCGAATGCCGATCCGTCTGATATTACTCTCGTAAGTTTTGCCCACCTATATTGAAATTATCAGGCTTACTCGTTCTCCAGCAACTCCTTATTGAGTGCCGATCGTAGACCTTTGACGCAAATACATCATGCGTACGTAACCGCAGGAGGATGCGGCGATTTAAGTTGCGCTATCATGAAATGAATGGTTCGCCGACAGAGGTGCCAAACACTTCATCATGCGTGTCATCAAGATCCGGAAGCTAAGCCGCTGTCGAGCTACGGCGTCGACTCGATGATGGCGGTCGAGCTGCGCAACTGGGACGGCCGCGACCTCGAGGCCGCCGTCGCCATCTTTGATAATATGGGCAAGGTGTTGGTCTCGGCTATCGGAGATTCGGTGGGGAGGACGCAATGATGGGGTGTTATCTTCAACTCTCACTCGGTGCGTAACATACCCACAAGACGGGTCCCGGCACGGCACCGGATCCCCATATGCTTCCAGATTAGGCAAGTTGGTCTCGCATTGGGCTTTCTAATTGGTGCAATGTGTGTTGCGCCAACGGTGTGCCTGGATTCGGCATGGATCCCTCAATTTATTAACATGATCACATACCTCCTAATAGCATATCGCGAGGAATCGTTTTCTACGGAAACATATCCGCCCGGTTAATGCATGATCTAGTCGATAAGTACATATGCGTCTGATTCTCGACTGCTGCCTTGGCGACTGCTTCACGTTAAGTGAAGCAGCATAAATGGGAATGCAGCTACGGAAGGCAAGATGTACGCAAACTTTCGTTCCGTGACAGCCGACGGCTAGTAAGCGCAGACTCGCTTCCATGTCAATCTCTTAGGCGTCGACTCTATCATCGTCCCTATCGAGATGCAACCAGTAACAGGACGCAGCGCAGTTTGGCAACCCTTCACGAACTCATCGTAATCCTCGAAACATTTTCTACTTGAAGCGAACCGTCGAGATCCAGGAATCCAAAAAAGCACTTATCTAGGTACGGATGAGCGTTGAGATGGAAGGCAAGATTATCTGCGACGTAGTTGCTACCTTTTAATAGCGCATAATAAAATACCTTCTTCATTTTTGAGACGATTACTTGCTAGGTTAAGGGCGATACGGTGCTGGGAGGCTTTGCATGGAAGGCGAATCTTCACTGGATGCAATATTCCAAGGTGGATGGAAGTACGATGTTGCACATCTAATGGTATGCGCAAGCCCAATGCGAGTACTTCGCTACTAGCATTGATATGGATTCAGAGAGTCTATTCAACTATCGGCTTATAACTGACGTCACACTCCCACTCCCAAAATGCAACGTCCTGTCAGTTTGTGTATCTCATTCGCAACGCGGTTCATCGTTGATAAAAGATATCTGCGAGCCTGCATCTAACAATTCCAGTATCTGAATACGTCGTGCCGACAACAGTAGCATCTCCACCTGTACGAAACCACCCGGGAAAGCAAACCGAACCCCGTCGCTACGATGTCGAGCCCCCCACCCTCCATCCGCGCGCTCCAAGCGACCAGCATTGCGATCCTCACCAGCACGGCGGGCCTCAGCGCCAGTCTCTCTTTCTTCGTGATCCCGCGGCTCCTCGAGTCGCCCACGCCGGTGCTGACCCGCCAGTTCAGCCGCATGCTGGCGGCCGCCCACGACGTCTTCCCCGTGCCCCTCGTCCTGCCAGGCCTCCTCCACGCCTACCTCGCGTACCGGCTGCCCGACAAATTCCGTCTGTACGCGATCGCCGCGGCGCTTTCGCTTACGACCTTACCCTACACAAGCGCCGTCATGATGCCCATCAACCGCAAGATGTTGGCCAAGGCGCGGACCGTTGAGGCTGCGGACGCGGGCGCGGCCGACGTGCTGGTTGAGGAGATTACGGCGAGCGAGGCGGAGACGGCGCATGCACTGGCGGACGCCTGGGCGCTGAGGAACTTGTACAGACCTGTTGTGGCGTTTGCTGCAGGTGTTATCGGGTTGTATGCTGCACTTTCGTGAGAGACGAAGTGCTTCGTTGTGTTCACATATTCAAGTTGCACATATAAAGGAGTGGGGTGACTTATATTAGACCCGAACTACGTGGAAGTGTTTTCGTACAACAATGCTTTCATTGGTAGAAGCAGAGTTTTCGGCTCAGAACAACCCCGTATTTTTTCGTCAATCAACACATTACGCGTGCCACTCGAAAGTGAACATGTGGAGGTAGGGAAGCTATTGGGTAAAATGCGTCCTATTATACCGTTAAGCGAACTTGATGGTGCTCCTGGAGAGGGGGCAGAGAGATGGCGATGCGAAGGCCGAACATAGCAAGAGTAAGGTGTAACTGTTTGTACCTATTTTCCTCTAAATCGTCTCCTCTCCTCGTAATTAATCCCGTACCGTTTCAATTCCATGCTTCTCAGACATGGACGGCCTATCTGTAACTGCAAGTATAAGCGGCATTCTCTCGCTGGGCATCCAAGTCACGTAATCTTTTGTGGACTTATATTCGGCATATACGCACCAGAAGTCCAACGTCACTCACGCCGTTGATAAGTTGGAACGGCTTAGTGGTATGTTTGAGACTCTATGAGACCACCTAGCTGGCCGCATATTTCTCGCCGATGAGCATAACGACCTTAGGAGCATCGAAGGGTCAATCTAGGATCACGATGAGTGTATTCATGAGTTGCAAAACGAGTACGCCAAGTTAAAAAGTACTGGTTCTGGCGGCATTCAGGCCACTGCCCGCACTTCTGCCCGTGGATTGGAGTACCCCTTTTGTCAAAGCACAATGCAGAAGCTTGACGAGGCCGCCGAAGAGGTTGTCTCGCATGTCTCCTTTGCGCTACAGATACTGCAGCAGAAGGACATCTACAGAGTTCGAAATGACATTGCCGATAACAAGGCATTACTGGAACTAAGTCAAGCCAGCCAGATCTCAACGATCATTCGCCAATGGTTAAGGGCTCCTGATGTCGCCGCGAATTACTACGAGCCTTGCAAGAAGAAGCATAGGGGCACGGACAGGTCAACATTCGATGATGCAATTCTTACTTAGAGAAATGCAGACAGAGCCGAATCTTCAGGATTGCTATTGCTCAACACCACTCTCGGCAGCAGTTCGGAATGGGTACAGAGCCCCAACAGAGCTACTCCTTTTTTTCTCCAATACTACCAGTAAAATCCAAGATAATGTTGGGTGGACACCTATGTGGTGGGCTGTCAAGAAACCTTAACCTGGTGATACTTCTCACCGAGACCGGGGAGTTGCTCTCGCCCTCTTATTGAAAATCACACCCCCGTAGTGGATGGAGAATCTGAAGGGTATGACCCGACCGAATACTCGTTTCCATTTTGTGATGTCTGTTTGGTGAGGCTTCGTAAAGCTCGTGTTTCCTACAAGGGCGTAATTCGTGCAAGGGGTTATTTTTGTACGTGTTCCGATTGCTTTCAGGTCGGCGCTAGGGGTCTAGTCAACCGTCATATATTGGAGAGAATATACTGTTGCGACTGAGGTGGGAGGACAGTAACGAAGCATACATGATTTGTGGATATTAGCCTAGAAAAGTTGTAGAGGATTGTGAAACTGTGGAAGTCAAGAAAAAGAAAGCCGTTTGCCCTCAGCTGGAATCGAACTAGCAATCTTTGCATGTCGCATGCCGAGATACGAGTGCAACGCGTTACCACTTTGCTATAAGGGCCTCTACTAATGGCTGTACTTTCCACTGAACTTTGGACGCCACAGACTAAATTATAGGCAGTTCCTCTACTCTAAAGATTTAGGAGGTAATTACCAACGCAGGTAGAGTTCGCCCATCATCCCATTATCTCAGCCAACGCTTCCTCAAGACCAAGTCAGGGACCACTCGTCAGCCCAAGCGCCACCAGTCGTCAACGAACTAAGTCCTTTAACCTTCAGTACACTGCCCGAGCTCTCCAAGGTCCATCCGCCGGCATCAACCTCCTCGCCGTTCAACTCTACTTTAGAGATGGGACCGTTAGCGCCCATGATTGTGACGTTACCGAGGGCGTTCGTATCGATGAAGGTGCCTCGGGGTGTCGCTCTTAAATAGGAGCCGTCGGCGGTAAACTAGTGGAATGGGCGGTCATTATCATGTACGGGACATCGTGACAAGAAGGGAAACGGCGAGCACTTACATTGACCCACGTAACCTTATCCGGCTTTATACTCTTGCCATCGTCAAGATAGAGTCTACCTTCTGCCTTACCATTTCCATCCAAAGCCACAAGAATATTCCAAGGACTTGCTCTAACAGCCGCTGTGGTTAGACCTGGCTTCTGCATTGGTATCACATGACCCCCTCGTATATATAACGGGATATGACCTAGAGGGGCATCAATCGTCACGTTCTGCCCAGCCGTAACCCCCGTAATCGCCGTCTGGTTATACCAATCATACCAGACCGTGCCCGCCCCAATGCCAGGGAAGACGCCATCGACCGTCGTAGCGCCCTGACCCAGACACGGGGTAACCATAATCGCATCACCAAGCAGGAACTGCCTATCAGCGGCAGCCAGCCACGGCTCGTCGGGAAACTCCCAAGCAAGAGCGCGCATCGTCGTCGACCCGGTCGAGTGGCTGAGGTAGAACGTCGTGTAGATGTACGGCAGCAGCGAGTAGCGGATCCTCATGGCCGTTTTGGAGGCTTCGGCCACGGCCTCCCAGATGTAGGGCTCCTGGCTGGCGGCCCCCAGGGTGTTGTGGTTTCGGTAGAAGGGAAAGAAGGCCGAGAGCTGCATCCAGCGCGAGCACAGCTCCATATCGGCGTTGTCGGCGAAACCGCACGTGTCGACGCCGAACATGGGGATGCCAAAGAGCGAGAAAGATAGGGCTTGCGGGATGGAGAAGTACATAAATGCCCAGCGCGAATAGTTGTCACCGCTGTCACTAGTCAGTCCACTGCCTCAAGAGTACGCTATGGTAAGTTAGGTAGTCTTACCCCCAGTGACCGGCCCATTTCCCAGAGCCGGCAAATTGAGACCTTCCAATTATGAAAGGCCGTTTCGTAGGGAAGATATTGATGAGCGTATGGTAGGTCGCATTCAAGATCTGGTGCCCGTAGAGGTTGTGGACGTCGTACTCTAAAATGCCACCGTGATGCGTTGCGTTAGGACTAACAGCGTGAACAGCGAGATCGCCATGGTAATTATTGATCGCATAAGGCGGCCAATTTACGTTACGAACACCAGGCGTCGGTGTGCTACGAAGGTACGGGGTCGCGGTGGATGTCGCCGTCGCTGTCGCTGCTGCTGCCGCCGATTGTGAGCTTTGAGCCGCAGAGGCAGCAGCAGCTTCCGTGGCATTGGTCAAGTTGAACCCTTCCGGATATCCTAGCACCTCATTACCCGGTTCTCCCGGCAGCTGGAATGGAGGACGGACGGGGTTAAGGCTTAACCTGTGGCTACCGCAGCTGCCCACGCAGAAAGATGATGCTTCTGACATGTCGATCCAGATGCCGTCAAACTCGATCTTGCTAGAGTACTCGGAAATTTCAGATAGCCACCACCGATTAGCTCCTGTGCCATTGAATAGGGCACCAATCCAGTCGGGAAACGCTGGACGCGATTAGCATGGACGCGAAGAAAGAACGGGGTTACTCACCAGTGTAGCCGGGCCAGACCGCGCCAATGTAGACCGATCCGTCGGGATTCAGTAAGAAGGCATCATCATCCATACCGCGGCCGAAAGGTGGGTATGCATCGCTGGCATTGTTAGGGTTAGGGGCGTATATGGCCGAGTCAATGATGGGCACGTAGTACTGATTGTTTTCGTGTAAGCGGGCTAGAAAATCCGCTCCCTCATCATAGCCGAAGCGATCTGGGTCATTTTCAAAGTTTCTATATGCTTTCATGTAGTCAATGTCGGCTGTGAAGCTGTCAGTAACTGCGAAAACATCTCCCGCATGGGAAGTCGCTTGAACCTACACCAAATCGTCTCAAGGGGAATCTTAAATTTAGCAAAGTTATCAATAACATCCTGAAGTTCAGTCCAGTTATTATAGCCCCATCGGCACTGGTGGTACCCAAAGGTCCAATATTGCTGCATCGCAGGCAACCCAACGGCACTCGCCTGGTACGCCTTGGTGACTTTGTCTTGAGTGGGACCGCCGTAGAAATAAAGATCATACATGCCGCCGAGTGCTCTCCAGGTAATGTTAGACTCCCGTAGCAAAACCTCTTGCGCATGGGCGTTACGTTGGTATAAACCGTGAGTGATTGATTTATACTGTGCTGATGTGTCCGTAGCATTCGGCGCATATGCCATTGCCCCAGTATCCTGATTTACTTTATAGTAACGGGTTTCGAGATAGAAAGGGTGATTCCCATAGATGTTGGCGTCTATGATATCGGCTACATCCGCCGCATAAAACGTGCCTAACGTCGTTAGATCACACCGAAGGACTAATAAAGACAGTAGACATACGAGTAAAGTTATTCCCAAGTCTGAAACCGTGGATAACCTCTCCAAGACCGTAGAGGTTGTAGTTCTCAGGGAGGGGTGAGCTAAACTCAATGAATTGGTCCTCATACACGATCTGAGAGCCCTCTGTAGTGAACAAGACATCGCCTGTGCTTTTCCTTGTGACCGAAAAGGAGAACGTCGGCTCATTAGCCCAAGTAAAGTTGAGGTCGTTCGGTGAAGTGCTGTGATCGTAGCCTTCCTCAATGTGAGGCTTATGGATCAGCTCTTCAGGGAGAATAAACCAAGACGAGTTCTCGGCGCCAATATAGCGGGGCAGTATCTCGATGTGCAGTCGGTCCGCTGCTTGGTACTCCACGACTAAGAGCAAGTCCTGGATGTCGTATCCGTAGACATCACAGGCCTCGCCGGCTAAAGTGAGGTCTGCCGTCAAGCCACTGCTTGTGGTCTTCACATTGGAAGCTTTATACCCCGGACATACGGATTGAGGATCGATAGCCTCGGGATCGATGATATTGGGAATGACTGGCTGCCCAACGTCTGCATCTGGCGGTAGGGGATCCTCAGAATCCGAAGCTGTCGATGTAGTTGTCGGGGTCTGCTGCTGTAGAGTGAGGCCGCATAAAATAGCCACGATTGGCCATAGCAACAATGTATATCGAATCATCCTGGCTCGACTTAATCGCCCCGTGTACCACGATAGTGTAACAAAGGAAGAACAAAAAAGGCTCGAAAACAAGAGCAGTCGAGAAGCGATGCCCAATTGCCCAAACCAAGCCTCTAGATTGACAATTAATGGCATCATGAATGGTACAGGCAAAGAGGCGTCGGCGGGAAACTCGGCGGTATAAAAGGCATCCCCCTTACCTGGCGGGAGCTCAAAGCTGGCTGGCTGCATCTTGCCACCGATGAGCTGCTTTGCATCCGAACGGTCTAGGTACTGAGCTTTGGGTGCAGCTAAAGGATGTTCAAAGTGAGAAAGCGATGAGGTATACCAGATAAGAAAGCACAAAGTGTTTCGTATGAAAAGTAACAGTTCAAAGACACCACATCTCAAGTTATAACTATTAATTCTACTGCCCTCTTCCACCCCCCGCACGTTTATGCAATGCAGATCTCATCCGATGCTGCACGTTGTGAACAGTCTGATTGATGAAACTATTACAGAGACCTGCAGATACGACGTTGGCATCTGGTTCCTGGCTGAGTAACTGCATACATATGCACCTAGCCCCGCATCTCACTCAGGGGTCTTGGATTATCGAATCTCGAATGTTCTAACCTTAGGTACTTCGTTTTGGTACATTATGCCTTATGTCATTAAGCACATTATGTAGGTACTTCATGTACATCCTAGGTTAGTTGGCTTTCAAGTTTCAACTCAAACCGCCCCCACATAAGAACCAATTTACGAGATTCCATCAAACAACCTTCGACACTAACCATATCAAAAAACTCAGTTTGACTAATTATTTCTTCGTCTTGTCGCCTCGATATAGTTCATCTGCATATCCTGACGATAGCGTCGTCCAAGAAGAAAGCCATGGCGACGGCAACCGCTGCACCACCAACCCCCTCGGACCTCGCGAAGCAGATCCTCGAGCACAAAGCACCGAGCTACTCCTTCAGCTTCTCTCCCTTCCTGCGCGCGACCTACGGCCACGGGTTCCCGCCGAACCGTCCCGTCTGCAAAGCCTTCGTATCGGGCCACTGCCCGCACGGATCGTCATGTCCGGACCGACACGTGGCGCCCAACGCGGCGAGCAGCACGAACGCAAGCTACAACTCGCTGGTGTGCAAGCACTGGCTGCGGGCCCTCTGCAAAAAGGGGGAGAGCTGCGAGTTCCTGCACGAGTACAACCTGCGCAAGATGCCCGAATGCAACTTCTTCGTGCGCAACGGCTACTGCTCCAACGGCGACGAGTGCCTCTACCTGCACATCGACCCCCAGTCCAAGCTGCCGCCGTGTCCCCACTACGACCGGGGCTTTTGTCCCTTAGGCCCGACCTGCAGCAAGAAGCACGTCCGCCGCAAGCTATGCCCTTATTATCTTGCCGGCTTCTGCCCCGAGGGCCCCATCTGCAAGGAGGGCGCACACCCGCGGTGGAGCAAGAACCTCGAGAAACCTGTTGCCAAGGCGGAGGTCGTGCCTGAAGATCCCGCGAGGAGAGACGATTCGATGGGGATGGATGATGATCAGAGAGATTTTGGAGGAAGACCAGATAGGGAAGGTCGGGGCGGCAGAGGAGATAGGTTTGG